AGCAGGAATCCCAAGCATCCTAATTAGCTGTGAGCTTGATGAGACTGAGAGAACAGCAAGAAGGAACTGGCTGACTGCAGAGATCTGATTCCAGCACAGGAAGGCTGCCATGCTGAGGTACTCAACTCGGGTGTTTGGCTGCACTGGGGCAGGCTGCACAACCCAGCACCACGCTCAGTATGTGGCAGATTGCTGCCCAAAGCCCCAAGTCCATTTCCTCTCCCACTGGAGCTCACAGAAGAAGCTCAGCTTTAGCTTTGAAGCAGTCTGCTGTGTCCCAGCATCTCTTCCCTTGAAGCAATTTTCCTCCTCTTAGTATTTGTTGCTAGGAGACCAAGGATTGTCCTAATTATGTATGAAAAGCAACTGCCATTTCCAAATTGCCAACTTGACAGAAAGGGCCATATTGAGAGAAAAACAGACTGTGTAAGAAAAATTCTCCTTTTTCAGGCTTTGAAAACGCTTGATCCTGCTGCTTCACTTCATGGAAAGTTGCACTGCCTCTGCCCCTTACACCTATGGGTCTGAATGAAAAAGGAGGTCCATGCATCACACCACACAGTGCAGCAAGCCGCATGCACCAAGCAGGTTTATGGTGCCAGGTAAGTGTTAACAGCCAGCCCTAGGTAGCTGCCCCTCTGAGACAGGAATCTTCCTGCTTGTCTTAGAAGCACTGAGACCTCAATGCATCAGACTTCCCATCCGTGCCAGAGGCTGAAAAACAGCAGAGAAACAGCAGCAAGCTGTGACCTGTAACAGTTAGATTCAATGCTGAATTTGCCTACCTCTTCCCACCAGAGACATGACACACTGCAAAGGTCCTACCAGGCAGAACAGATGCCATGCAATGCAGCCACGCAGCAGCTCAGTTTCTACCCTCTTTTAACTCCATTTCTCCAGAAACAACACAATCCCACAAGCACTCACTTCCCCAAAATTTCCACAGCAAGTTCACTCTGCATGTGACCAGCAGCAGCACCTCCTTGATCTTCTTCCTCCCCATAGTCCTACTATTCACTTTGGTTCCTCTGCTAACAATGGGACACCTCACGGCACCCCATCAAGACCTGAGCAGAGCTATCGTGTCAGCCTGGCACCACACCAGTACTTGCTCAGCATCTAACCTGAAAGAAGCTGAAGGGCTTACCCTGGCTAAAGGAAGAAGGCAACAAACAGTTGCCAGAGATGGAAAGAGAACAGTTACAGACACACAAAGAGCACTGGCTGCTCCATGTGGAAAGGCTACTGCCTAAGGCTCCAAAACTGCCAGGTGCAACAGCCCACACAGCTTGCTGCAGCAGCCCAGAGATGTAAGGGATGCAGTGAGGGAAATGCTTTCCTTTTTTAGAAGCAAAGCATACTTTGCATTCTCAAGCAGACAGTGATCCCCACTCAGCTACAAGAGCACGGGACCAAGGCAGCTGCAGCGTGCAGTACCGTAAAGACACTCCAAGTCCTCCTGCCCTGAGATCAGCCAGCTCCTGAAGAGGCGCAGGTGGTAGGAGCAGTGCTGGAGGTGATGGGCTAGAGCGGCATCCAGGGAGATGTTCCGGCTCGTGGCACAGTCAGAGGAAAAACGGCGCAGCAACTGGGCAACGTGGAGGTGCTCAGATGCATCTGGAGGAAAGGGGCCATAGACAGTGAGAGGGGACAGAGAAACTGCGGAGCTGTGGGCACGGGGCTGCCAGCACCAGGGCCGCGGGATGGGAACGACCCGCACCACACACTGCAGCCCAGTCCCTCCCACAGCAAGCAGGCCAGGAAGACCCTTGGATCTACGTACCCCCAGTCATGCTGCAGCAGGCCAGCTCCCGCCCAGCCCAGGCTTTGCCACACGCAGCTTCAGCGCTGGGGCAGGCCCTGAGCAGTGAGGTGTCATCTTTGGAAGTGGCAGTCTGACAAGCGAATACATTTTAGGACAGGTTCCAAATCCAACACGGCTCAGGTTTGGCTAAATAGAAGGTCATGCCCACACTCACCCTCCCCCAGCTGAGACAAGAAATCCAGAGTCCCAACAGAGTGTTCCAGTCCTGTGTCCAAACGCAACCTCAGCACACGAAGAGAGCAAACAGCCCAGCACCAAATGACCAGAAGCTGTGAAAGGGACACTGGGGACAGCAGGGTCTGACTGAAAGCAGAGTGCTCAGAGCGTGTTAGAACAGAAGGGGCACAGAAGTGCTGACCTCCCCTCTCCAGACTCTCAGAACAGCCCTGTGGAATCTTCTGTGCTATCTTTGCATGGCAGACAAGATACTAGCACGCAAGCATGTCTTCTCCATGTACACAGCCCCAGGCCACGCTCCCAAGACTCACAAGACAAGAGCATAAACCATCTGGCCCTGACACTGTGACATCTTGGCCTCTGCTGTGGTTCACCCATCCCATTTCACCACACAGAGGCAGCTCTTCAGAAACAAAATCCAGAGTCAGAGCTGTGAATAGCTTTGCATCTTCAGACGCGTGGTTCATGTGGCTAAACACCCTTCCTGCTAAAACTGGTGCCAAGCCTAGACCAAATACGGCTAATATGCCTTCAAGCTCACACCTGCCTTTGCTTTCTTGATTATGGAGCACGTTGCCATTAGAAATATTCATTGGGTTCTTGGGCAAAACCTGATGTTCAGTTTTACTTTACCCTTTTTGGGGTGGAAGCATTTGCTGTACAGTGTGGCTTAGGAAAGACTGGTGCCTGGGACAAGTTCTGCTGGCAAGATAGAACAACACATCCCGCTGACATACATCACGTGAGCTCAGATGGTATCCAGACATACACACAAATTGAGCAGTTGGCCAATCTGGGAAAAACAAAGCCAAGCAAACACAGAAAAGAGGTTCCTTTCAGTTATTTGAAACTATGAAGCCACATTTAGCTGCCTCTTCCCTTTTCATCTTTCCCAAAACTTTGGTCTTTGTAAAAGTCTTCTGAACTTCGTTCATCTTCCAGATCATGCAGAGCAGAATATCTTCATATTTACTACGCAACAAGATTGCAGAAGCAGCCTCGATCGCATGAGACAGAAATAACCTGGCATCTTTCAATGATCTGCTTTCATTCAACAGCAGGAGCCACAAGGTAGGAGTCGTGCTGTGAAGCAAACCTTGTCAAGAGTTTCTGTGCAAGACTCGGGATAATAAATGCTAGTGCAAGACATCTGCTACAACAGAGCTAGTGGTCTTTAACCTTAAAAGACTCACAGTTCATGTGCTGGGTTAGTAGCAATATGAAGCAGAGATAGTGAATCAACAGAAGCACTGTCAGACACCCTTTATCAAGCCTTTCAACAGGTACCAGCGTGCCAGGAGTGCAGCAGGTTGCCTCTCCCGGTGGCATGGAGCCCATCCCCTCCTACTTCAGGAAGGTGTCAGGCCCGACCCAGCACTGTCCACCAACAGCAGACGAGTGAAAGCTCTGGAGAGACACCATTCCCAGGACAGCATCTGCAGGAAAGGTGAGTCTACTCCCACCAACATCACCACGACCGCAGTGACCATGGGACCACCCTAACAGACACATTTGCAGATAGGAGGCCATGAGGTTACCAGTACAACTGTGTTGAGGAGCACCATGCGCAGGGGGAAGGCTGTCAGCACTTCCTTCTCTCCCACCCTAGGCTGCACTCTTCCAGGTGACACATGGGTAGCCTTAGGCTATCTTTGTTTTGGTTCTGCAAATCTGCAGTGTAGAAACTGAGGACCCAAGATGCTGAAGCTTTTAGGATATGGAGTGGATATTCCCCCCTCCCACCAAATCCAGTGGTATCCCCCCCCGACCTCCACTCTGCCAAAAGGGACCATGGAAGTAGGCCTCAATGTCATCAGTGGAACTAAGGGCTGCTTTAGGAGTCCATTAGCAGAGCCACTGTCCTTGCTTTTTCACCTGGTACATAAACGCCTTGGGGGACAGCAGAGGAACCACTGAGCCATCACAGAAGATCAATGAACACGTTAGTCACAGTGAGACAATGGGGGAAGGTGAAGCATGTTCAGACACCAGATACAGACACAAAAACCCCACAAGAGCGCTGAGAGGAGAGTATGTGCAGAGAGAATGTAACGTGAGCATGGGGTTAGGAGTGTGAGGGAACGTCAAATCAAGGAAGCAAACGTACCATTAGTCGGATGCTTTGCAAACGACACAGAAAATCGTTTTACGGCTGGCATAGACAAGAGCTCTGAGGAAATAAAAACAGATCATCTCAGTTAACAGCCTGCTTCTAATGATTCCCCAACCTTCATACGCTTGCAAGTACCCTTTCAGGTTGACCTGCTGCTTGACCCCCACAATGTGCTCTCATTGGCACTGTTGTGGCACCCCAGGCACTCTCGAGCTGCAGGTCTGACTGAACCTCTTGGCTTCCTTGTGTTCTGCCGGCTCCCCACTGCCCTTGCACTGCCCCGTGGGGTCCTCCTTGACACCACAAAACCTCAGCCACACTCTCTCCATCACAGACAGCATCTCACACCTACCCACCACATCTGCAGCCATCCTGAGAGCAACCCTGGCTCAGCCCAGTGCCAGATGCAGTGAGGCCATGCTCACAGCCACGGGAGCACGTGGCCAAGCAAGCAGCAGTACAGGAGGACAGCTTTCAGGATTCACCTCTGCCCAAGGAAAATGACAACCATTCTGCAAAGGAACTGAAGAGCTCTGGCATAGCCAAGTGCAGCTCAAACACCCTCGCAATGTAAACTAATAGAGCTACTTGTGCCTTTAAAGGTAAATCAACCAACTAATTAGGTAACAAAGAGAAGACCCCTGAAGACATGTCTCTACAGTTCTGCTGCTCAAAGCATTTCAGTACAAAAAGGATTACGGATACACTGTCTGAATGGTCCTCAGGCTTGTCCTGGCCATATTCCAGGCCAGGACAAGCTCTTGCATAGAAATCACCCATCAGAAAGACAGTGCAAGGACAGATTCTATGCAGCTAATGAGATGCAAACAGATGAGCCTTAAAAGACATGGATTAGACTCCATATGCACCAAAAAAAGAAAAAAAAAAAAAAAAACACAGACAACTTCAGTTTATTCCCACTTTGGAAATTCCTTCGCTATCGTGGGAAAAAGAATGCCCTCGATCAGACCCTCTGGATGTAGGCTGTAGTATGCAGCCAGTCATATCTTTTGCTGCTATTTGGGAACTTTTAGGAAATACTCGAAAATGCTTTGATTTCTCCTTGATGTTCCATGTGTCTATTCCACCTAGTCAATAGGGTCCTTACACTTACCCCTGCACACTAAGGTTAGGAGATACATAAATCAATTTATGTTCCACACCCACATTGTGCTTCTCTAGCTACATCCACTGATTTTATCAAATAATATATTTAAATCAACTCTCAATCTTGCGATTTTCTTTGCCAGCATAACAGCCATAAAATAATTTTTCTCTCATTAAACTCGAAAAACAGAGCATGACAATGTTCTCTACACATGCAACCCCTTAGAAGCACCCTAGTCCTGGAGCTGCACCAGCCAGCTAGTAACCACCTCCATCCCACCCCACATCTCCCCCCTGGCCTTTACAGCACATCAATTTCAATGGTCCTGCAACACAGCCTACTGGATCCCTGGCTTCAGATGAGTCAGCTTCAAATCACAACCATTGGCTGAGGCTGGGACACAACTTCCCACTGAAGTGTTCCTTCGCCCTCTTCCAGACCCCAGTAGAAAAAACTTGAGACATAAGGGCCATTTTAACGTCACCTGAGCGTGTCTTTGATGAAGTGCTATAAGCCATGCACCACACCTTGAAGCATCACAGCCATGGGAAAAAAAATCATGCAAAGATGTGCTCCAGAATCTGAATCTGAACGATTTTAAACATTACCAGCCTGATGACTGAAAAAGGCCTTGATACAAGTGTACTGCAAGATCCTGCTGTAGCTGCTGTGTCACTGTAGTCAGCGCTAGTAATGTTTGGCTTAAATGCCGTTGTTCAGCATTTCACTGGTATTCATTTAAGCGGGAACATGCAGATCAAGGGCTTTTCCACATTCCAAACTACCCCCTGGAAGCTAAACACCCTTCTGCCTCCTACTTGGTTTTCCAAGACCCCCGTTTCTTCCTCACAATTGCTCTTATTGCAGCAAGGCGCTGGTAGCACAGGGTGCCACAGCATGCTAACAAATGTGAAGAGAGAAGTGTAACATCCAGATGAGTAATTCTGGGCTGTGTTAGTCACACACTAGTTAAATCATTCTGCCCACTAAGTACTGGAGTGTACAACTGCATCCTGGCATGCAGAGACGTTGGCACTGAGTTCAGGCTAATGCAGCAGGACTCTGCTCTGGACCTTGAACACAAGTAGCCAGCTGCGGGTACGCTCCTACTGCACAGCCTACAGAGCAAGGCAGCACAGCAGCAGGGCTGAGCAGCATCTGCTGTTCCCAGCTGGGGACAGACCAGGAAGTCTTTGATGCTCTTCCCTGAGAATTAGAGCTGCCTTGGATTCACGCTGCTTGCAGAGTTGTGGAAGGAAACCAGCCAGAGCCCTCACTGGCCTTTTCAGCAGCTCTCCTGGTATTCACACCCTGGTCTTGTGCCAAACACCGTTCTTATTCTGGGACCTCTGAGCCAGCACTTGCTGCCTTAAGCAGCTCCAACTGGTACAGCAGTGTTTAAAATCCTCCCAGTTCACCCTCCCTGTCTCTGTCATTCCTGGCCTGGTGTGTGCTAGGGAGCTCCATGAAGAGGAGAGAAGCAACACAGTTTTTTCTTACACAGTGAAAAGTTGCACAGAAAGCCAGTATACATAATGGTGTCAATACAACAGTATTTATGAGGTTCCAGTAGCTCTTCCCTGATCACCTAGGCCATTTTCTTGCCTCAAAGCTGGACAAAAATCCAAACAAACTGATCTCCTGCTTTCCCCAAAGGCTCCAAATTAATAATCTCCCTACCTTGTAATCCACCAGTGCCAGTGTTTGTTACGATCCCGATAAGAAAGGCACTCAGACTCTGTAAAGTATTGACTACAATACCATCTGTTAGAACTAACAACAAGGAATAAGAGAGGACAGGTAATTTTACATCCATTCAGATGCTGGGAACCCTGAGTTATAATACCATACATCAGCATAAAACTCCTCGCACAGCAACAGCTCCTGTCTTGTCCTACCAAGAACTGCCATTTCTTGGGGTATGATAAAATGCATTTACTGTAGATGTGGTGAATATACACATTCTACTGTCATTCTTCTCAGCAGTCTGTCTTTGCCTCAGTAGCATCCTGAGACACCAAAGTCCACAGATTAACCGCTGCTGCGCAGGGACACACATACCGTCTTTGTATGTCAGGCTGCTGGCAAACTTTTTGCCATGGCTGCGAGCGTAGTCCTGGAGGTTGGGGGCACTGGAGGAGCCTCCCAGCACAGTGGTGCTAAACAGGCCGGTGCATTGTGACCCTGGAAAGGCATGGAAGGTGTTAGTATTGTATCTCCACTGCATGCAACTACAGAAAAGCAGGGTTAGTCAAAGAATGAGGAATGAACTGGCCACTTCACAGGCAACCTCAGGGAAAAAAAAATGATGCCAGGGAGCATAGGGAGGCAGTATTTCACATTCTGAATTCAATAGTGCCAAATGCACCACAGGTAGCCCAAAACTCAGCACCAGGAACGTTCCTGTCTCCATCCAGGGTTTATTTCCATTCGGCTTTCTTGCCCTGCCCTAGAAGGAACACCTTGACACCCTCCAGTCAGCAAATCTACATACTCATGTCAGAAAAGCCAGGATGCCAAATCAGTGACGTCCATGTCACAGGGCTTCATGTTTCTGCTTCTCTGCCCCTTCTCTTTGGAAAGCTCCTTTTTCTGCAGGACACCAAGAGGAAGAAAGAACTGCCTGATCTGTTAATCAGCAAATGTGGATTAATCACTCTGTCAAGCGGTAAGGAAAGCAGGGTGACCGGAGAGCTTGCGTTCGCTAATGGCTGCCCAGATGATATTTCACATCTATTTGGTCATGTCTTGCTACTCCAGAGAAGGCCCAATTGTTCCATGAACTATCCTTGCAAAGCACCAGATGCACACACAGCATGGAACTTTTGCTTATCCTACAGCGAGGAATATGGCATGCAAGACGCTCTCATGCATAGGAGGGCAACCTAATACCAGTGGCTTTGGCAACTGCTGGTGTTTGCTTCTCCAAGGCACAGTGTTCTGTAGAGTGACTGACATTATGGGATATTTAGGGAACGTCGAGCAATTGAAACATTATCAACTGAGGAAGGCAATTGTGAGTGCAACAAAACCTTATTATATGCCAGACAAACCCACTATAAATTCTCTGCTAAACTGTCTTGATGCTGCATTCTGAACTGAGAATACCAACTGCTAAAAACAACCTTACTCCCACATATGAAAGGCTCCCAGAAACAAGCAGGTTGATCTTGTTCAACCTTGTCTGCCAAGGCAAAAAAACTAACATACTGCTTATCAGTATTTAACAGGAACAGTACAACTGTTACTACTGTTACAAAGATCCTGCCTATACTGATTTGTCTTCTCTGTAACCTCCCATTTAGGTGGCTGAACAGCATAAAGGTTTCCACTCTCCAGAGCTTCTGATGTGAACCAGCCCTGCTCTCCCAGCTTCTCCTCCAAGGTTAGGTACTCCAGCCCCCATCCTCCTCCACTGCACCTTCACGGTCTTATACCCACCACATCCACGCCTTCTTGCAGTAGGGAGCCCAGGACAGGACAGCAGAATTTCAGATGCAGTCTCACAGGAGGTGAATGAGGGGAAGAACTATCACACAGCTACTCACAGGTCTAAGCTAAGGACATCTGCTCCTGCGAGCAGTGGGGGATGACCTAAAGGGTTCTCATATGCACCGAACTTCAGCTATTCCACCACTGTGACACTGCTGGTAGCTTTCCTCAGCACGCACTAGCACATACGTGTCCTTGGACAAACAGGCAACAAACTCTTGCCCATGGGGTGACTGATACACGAGTCCTAGAAAATTTCCTCCCCGTGCCTGGAATTGAAGCCCAGTGCAGGCTCAGCACAAACCAGAGTCTGTGAGAATGCAAAAGACGCTTTGTCAAGCAGCAGCCAGGAAGATGCTCCCAATCGTCCTTCCACTGCTTAAAAGCAAACCAACAACAAAAATAACTGCAACAGATAAAAATGGAGCAGAAGAGTTTTGTGACTTTCTATCTTGAGCAACCTCATGCCACTAATCATTAAGCTAAGGATACCCCACTGTTTCTGCTGTAGACAGAGGCATCTTGATAGCACCCTTAAGCCAGAACAGAATTTACAGAGATGACTCTATGGACAACAACAACTGTGTACAGTGAACTCCAGGAGCCGACTGTAGCCGAAGTAAACAAACAAATGCACACATCCTAAAGAACATAGAATCACAGAATCATAGAATAGTTAGGGTTGGAAAGGCCCTTAAGATCATGTATTCCCAACCCCCCTGCCATTGGCAGGGACACCTCGCACTAAACCATGTCACCCAAGACTCCATCCAAGCTGGTCTGGAACACCGCCAGGGATGAAGCATTCACAACTTCCTTGCACAACCCATTCCAAGGCCTCACCACCCTCACTGTGAAGAACTTCTTCCTTATGTCTAACCTAAACATAATGGCATATGAGCCACTTGGAGTCAAGATGTAACGACATCTGCTAGAAATTCCTGTATGTGCTGGATCTTTTTTGTGTATTTGATTTTCAGATGTACCTTCAGTGTTTCAGATGTTTAACGAATGGACATCCCTTATTTCCTATGGGAGTCTCAGCACAAAGCTTCATGCCCATTGGCAATACAACACCTCTATTGGTCAAACAGCAAGGATTGATTTTACTCCATTTTGAAGTGCTCTTGCAAGCAAAGAAAGGCACTGAAACCTTCACAGGTTTCTCAAGCTAGAAGCATACACACTGTTGCAGACAATCCACAATAATGCATTTGCTCCTGCCCAGCAAAACATGGCATCCTCCAAAGCACCACTTTGCATAGACAAAGCAAGCTGCGGGCCACCCCTTTTCCAAAGAGACATTTCAAGGCTTTAAATTACAGGAAGGACACCATTCTGGCAGGTATGGCAGCAGGGTTATTATAGGAGCTCTGTCAAGCTCCCCTTTCGTGCATGCCTAAACACATGAGGTTATACCTGAACAGACAATGTCCCAGAGAATCCGTTCTCCCAGAGATACCCATAGCCCACCACTGTCAGAAAAGCTCAGAGGCAGCAAGGAGTATCTGAATGAACCCCTCACAGCACAGCTGCTGAAACAAGTATTAAAACCAAAGTTCAAGCTCCTGTGAGTTCTATGTTACTTCTCAACAGAGAGCACATTTCAGATCCTAAAAGGGGAAGAAATTAGATTTCTACAAAGCAAACAGGAAAGGAATCAGAAATATTCCCTGAAGAGCTTGACTTCTACAGGTAGAGGCATCATCCTTCTTAACAGTTCTCAGGTTAAGAGAAATTCACAGAAACACAGACATCCTAAAAACTAGGGATTGTGCAATCTGAGGTCTCTCTTCTGTGCCTGCAGCTGCAGAACTCCATAGAGAAGGATCATAGTATCCAGCTAGAGGTCTACTGTCACAGATCAGGTCTATCAATTCCTACTTAATGTTTTGTCTCTGCAGAGCTTCACAGTTGGGAGAATGACCAGCACAGGCTTCCCAGCAAGGCAAATCTGGTAAAAACCTGGGATTAAACCTGCTGGGATCACATTTCAAATTCCGTTGTCAAGGAAAAGCAGTACTGAACAAGGGTCCAGCAGAGCAGTAGTCTTCTCTATTGCCAGACAGACATTCGTCAGAAACCTGGAAAAGGCTGTGGTAAGCAGACTGCAGTATCTGCCTTCCAGAGCACACGCCTTCTGGTACTCAGACATCCCAACAGTAAAGATCATTTGCATGTAGCATTTGATGTGTTCAGTAATCCTCCAAGCAGTTGTCTGTGCAACACCTCAGAAATGCTCGTATTGATTCACATGGATTCACAGAATAACCACAGGTATCTTCAAGCCTAAGCAAGGCAGTTTGTTACAGCTACTATATCCTGCAGGCCATCTGTGAAAGGCAGAAGTAAGTAGATGCACCACATGAAACAGCACATTCAAAAACTGCTATGGCCAAGGCTATCGTGCCTTTGTGAAAGTAATATGCATCGGCTACTCCTTAGATTTTTCCAACTGGCTGGGAGTGTAGCTGGCAGACTCCAGGAATACTTCCTAACCACTCGGGAGAAAATTCCCTTTACTTGGTAAGAGTCAGCTTCCAAAGAAGCAGTACATTCAAAAGCAACAAAGAAATGATCAGGCTTTTTCAGGCCTCTTGGCTGCAGGATGTCCATATAACAGGGTAAGGAACTGATGAATCAGAGCTGCTGCAAGTCCAGAGGCAAGCCACAAGGCAAAAATGGGTTTAAAGGAAAAAAGTGCTCATAACTTGGGCATTTCCACCTCCTGGTGCTTATTAGTCATTTGCAAGATCTAGCTTTCACAGCTGTCTTTGAACCTCGTGACACAAAGACAGCTTTTTAGTTTCTAAATAGATCTAGCTTTATTAAAAATATTTCAGGAAGAATTTCGACTACTAAGCCATAGTTCAGGTTAGGATGACAGCGAGCGGCACTCTGAAGGACAGGCAGAAAACACCAAGTACCTCAAAACATTCTCTTCTGCTGGCTACCATGCAAAGAATGGCTAACCAGGGATTCCAGCTCAGTTACAGAGCTGTCAAACACTGTTGCAGATGATAGATCTATTCCATAGAAGAGATCTTTATGAAGCAAAGGTAGAAATATAGTAGTCTTACATGAAGAGCACCTTTGCATATAAACTCCTGTTTTGCAGAACAGAAAGCACACTAGTTCTTGTGTAAAATTCTGTCTTCCTACTGAGTTTAGAAACAGTATAACAAATGATAGCAGTGTGGAACCAGAAGGCAACCCACAAATACGCAGCCTGCTCTGTTGCTCACATAGTATAAAGGATGAAAAGTGCATCTTCTATTGCTAGAAGCTGACGGAGAAGATCATACACAAAAGGAAATACATACAACAAGATAGTCTCTACAGCGGTCTAAACAGTAACACTATAAGAAAACATAAAACACATACAGAGAGACATACAAGGAACTTAAGCCATATGTGTATGTGGAGAGACAGACAGATGCCCACAGAAATGCAGAGGTCCAGGTGAGCAGGCTGGTTACAGGTCAAGTACAGTACCTAAGCCACTTTGCTTCATCTCAGAAGACTGTCTTGAGTAACTGCTGAAGAGGCGATAACCTCCTGATTTGGAAGAAGATTCAGACAGCACCTGCAAAGACAGAGAGTATCATCAGTGTCATGCTCTCTGGTCTCAAAAGCCTTTATACATCAACTGAAGGGAAGGAAAAGTATGTCTCTTCCTTAAAATCACAATTTGCAAGAAGCATAAAAGCACTCATATGCTAAGACCGTGACAGTGCACACTCCATTTTAATTTCAAGTTTGTGTTGGGTTGTGGAACAGTGGAGATTTCAGAAGTATGAAGGCACTCGGGTCCTGAGCTCCTTGAATCCTGAGTCTTTTGCTGGGATCAGCAGGGCTTCCTTCTTTAGTAGCAGGAAAGTATATCCCCTTTAACTTAGTATGGGCCTGTTACAAAGAGCCCGAGTGCTGCATGCAAAGATTACATTAGGAGTGACACAGAGACAGAAGCCAGCTAACAAATACCTTGAGCCCTAATCCTGTGCTTTCACTGGTTCAGAGAAGATATAGCAAAAATGCCTGTGAAGTCCCTCCAAAAGCAGGGGCAACTCTAGAGCACTTTAAAGGTGCCAGCTGCCTGTGCAGCTAGCCCTTTGGCATGTAACAGCCCTGACGGAAAGAAGTAAGAACAGTAAAATCGATCTTTGTTACTTTCACAGATCAGTGAATGGGACAGTTCTAAACTGTAGCAGTTCAAACCCTCTGTAATAAACCCACCAGCTGGCAGGGACTGTGGTCTGCACAAGATCCTACATGGGAGACAGGAATAAGAAATGTGAAGCTGAACTGTGAGAGGCAAAGGGCCTAAGGGAAGGCAAAGATGAAGAGCCTTCATCTTCACAGCTAGGTGAAGAGATTGCATGCAGGCTTGCAGCTGGTTACCCTGATGCCTCTACAGAGTACATAACCTTCATAATACCTGTGGCTTCAAGCACTTCCTTACTTGCTTTTCCTCACCAGTGACTCTGACCTGTGTTCCCCCCTGTCCTTCCTGAATGAGGAGTCTGGGAGGCCTGTTTTCCAAAATACTCCTCTTTAACTTCTGCAGATCTCTTCCCAGAATCAACTCAAACTCTGGCCCATTAAAAGGAATGCCAGGAAACTGAAACAAAGCAAAAGACCTTCACTAGAACAACCAGGGGCGCCCGAGGCATCGTTACCTCCATGGAGCCAGTCTTGCGGTTCCTGATCAGCGGTGACCTCCGCTGAATGCTGACCGGCTCGGAAAGCTGCGGAGACCTTTGCTGCACACGGTCTGGCTCATCCATGCCCTTCTCCTTGGAGAGATCCTCCAGGCTGCCTTGGTCTGCTTTCTTGTCCTCGTTCTGCAGTAAGGGAACATTGACACCTACAGGCATGTGGCTCTGCAAGTGCTCCCCAGGCACTGCCCAGCCCTGGATCTCCAGCTCTGGGCAGCTCAAGAGGACAGTAGGGCTCTCAGACTCCCCTGGTGAGCCCTGGGGGTTAGCAGGGTGTGCAGCCCGCTAGCGGCACACAGCAGAGCTCAGAGGAACATCTGCTGCTCGAGACTGGCTGGGAGCAGAGGCCGGCAGAGCAGCCAGAGCCAGGCAGCACGCTCACCTCCGCAGAGGCAGGGCGAAAGCCAAACCCCGTGGGCACGTTTCTGTCTTCCTCACAGCCTTTCACGCCAGGGCTGAAATGCAGCTCCACGTGGAAACGCTCCTCTGAAGATGGGTCCTGTGAATGTGAAGCACAGGGAACAGGTAAATAAATAATCATCAGCCCCACCATCAGCACAGGCCATGGCCTGGATCCGGCCATCCCGCCATGCTGGTGCAGCGCACATCCCAAGCGTATCCTTTTGGAAGGAAAGCAGAAGCAACAAGAAACCATGAACATAATGGCTCTAGGTTTGTCTCATCCAAAAGGACAGCCCGTATTGGCACAAAGCTGAGGCATTCAAATTGTTGTTATTTTGTGACAACAGCCACCAGCGGACCAAAACAGAATCGGGCTGTATGTATATATCTCTACAGACAAGCCTAAAACATAGCCCCTTCCAACCAACACCTGTTGCAAAACCAGCACACGGGGGCAGGCAGGGACTGGTTCCCTCCTGGATCTTTAATCAGGTTGTTCCAAGATTTAAGTAACTGTCTCTAACATGAATTTTTGTTGGTGGTTTTGGGTTTTTTTATGGAAGCCAGAGCTTTTACAGTATCTGGCTCTAATGACAGAAACTTTTGGTAAAACCGAAAGTTTCACCATCTCTACTTACTAACAGATTTACACCACTCCTGAGAGCTCTATTCATACCTTTTTTATTTTCTCTTACAAAAAGCACTAGGAAATATTTCACTTCTACCATGAGAACCCCACATCAGCTCTGTGAACACAAGATTCTAAGTCAACAGTGTATGGAAGAAGGCGACTGCATCCTCACCCACTACAGCCTCCTGCAGTACAGGACTGAATCACAGGTGCTGGGATTCAACCTGCTTATGGTCATCACCATCAGCTTCCACATTCCAGATGGCTTTTAAATTATCCTCTTTACTTCCTGAAGGTACCAGTATATATGACCCTGACTATAGCAGTGTATTTTTTAAATGAAATAAAGTTTATGAATGTGGAATATCTGGATATTTTCTAGAAATATTTGAAAAAAAAAATTCCATATATAATATTTTTAATTTATTTTTTCCTATTGTTCCTTTTTAATTAAGAAACAGCAAATTATTCTGCATTAGGAAATGCTTTAAAATAGACAGTACTGATTACTTGAGTTCGGTATTACTGCTCAGGGTGGCATTTGCTGTCACGTAACAAGCATTAACTGGATCACTGCCTCCCACCTAAAAATAAAACCTAGCAGTTGTGCTACTGATCTGTCCATCTTTACCCACAAGTGGAGAGAGGTCAGGCTACAGACTTCTCAGCTGAACTCATCTCCCAGGGACTGAGCCTTGCATCGTGGCAGGAAGTGTTTTGTCCTGCAGCTATATCCCTCACCTTGTTGTTGTCCTCGTAGAGCATGATAACAATCTGGGTCATGTAGTTCAGCTCTGAGATAGCACTCAAATAGTCCATGGCTCTCTTCCACTGCTGGTCTTTGTTTTCCTGATATATACACATAAACAGTCGCATGGAATAAGCAACAGCAGACACCTTGCAGCATTCAGTGAAATGGGTCTGAAGGAGTTTGTCTCTCAACAAGATAACAACATTGTCAGGACAAAAACCACCTTGCTTAACTTGGAGGAAGAGAGATGACCTTGCAATGAGGGCGGGGTGGTTACAGGAAGGAGCAACTGCATAGAGGGACACTACAGCTACCCACCCAATCCATGTGCAGACCTGAGCACAGCCAGCTGCAAGCCCCCTGTGCTGTGCTGACAGGAGAAAAGCATAACCCCCAGCAGGTTCCCAAACACAGGCATCCCCAAAGAGTAGCTACAAACATTTCAAAAACTAAAGGCACAAGGAAGGAACTTGTGCTACGCAAGGGACAAAGTGATGCCAAATGAAAAGTCGAGAGCCACGCGGGACCTGGGGCTCCAGGCGCAGGGCAGCCCACCCCACACTGCTTCCCCACACAGCCAGGGAATGGCTGTACCTGAAGTGCTACTCCTGCTGCTGTGGGACATCTCACCACCTTGATGGGCATGAAATAAACCCCACCGGACAAACGAACCCAGATGCAGCCTAATACCCCTGTGCTAGCAACACAGCACCCTCTGACACTCAAGACAGAGAATCAAGGGATATCTTATTCAGTGAGCAATTCAGAGGTACTTGCATGATCAGTGCCTACAGATATACTGAGCTTCCACAGACATCAGAAATCACGCCTGCTAAGCAAGCCCAAACTCTCAAGGCGTTTCAGAACACCATGCTTAAAAATGGGAAGGTAAATCTGAGAGCCTCTTGAGGAGTCTAAAGCAAAGCTTTTCCTAGGGTCTGCATGCCAATTCCTTCAGGAAGCAGGCTATGTGAACAAGTGAAGGTTGGATTGGATGAGTTAGTCCCCTAAATATGTGCAATCTGTCCTTCTTCTAGAGATCACCCCCTGTGCATTTAAAACCCCAAGTCAAACTGATCTATTGACTTACAATTGACAGAAAGTCACTAAATAACAGGGCCAAGCTCTTGAAATAAAGGCCTGCTGGAAGCAAGAAGAGAGAAATTCCCTCATCCCATTGCCTCATACTGCTATCCTCCTACACAGGTAAGACTCTACTCATCTGAAACCAGCAAGACAGCTCTTGGAGCAAACATGCCTCTGTACAAGCAAGGAAGGCAGTGTCAGGACTGAGGAAGAACAATCCTGCATGCTGGAAAGGCGGGAAGCTGCAACATGCAAACACAGCACAGATGGAGCTGGCTGGAGGCCACTAATGCACGTCATTACTGAGGGAGCTGGCTAGAGGGGCAACCTGCATACATACACTGTCCACCTCAGAAAGGGCCACTGAGAAAAAGCAGGGAGGCTTACTCTGTGAGCACTGCTGCGACACTTACATCCAGGAGCCCCCCATAGCGGAAGATACTGAGCAGAGAGTGCACATGGCTCTCACTGGTGAAGTAGAGCCGTGTCCGGACATGGCGACCCGGTGACAGAACTCCTCTTGAGTACCTAAACCAAAATTAGCCCAGTGTTACAGTGTGCCAATGAACTGCATCTCTCATACAGCAGCATTTCTGTACACCTAATGGAACAAGATACCTGCACACTGTCAAAAGCAGCAGAAACAGAACAACAGTGAGAGCATCAGGTACAGAAGCAGCAAGTTTTATGTTACCCTAATGGAGACACACAGCGGGGCAGAGGTGGCCTCATCATACTAGCACTTGCCCCTTGCTGAAACAAGGATGAAGGCACGGCTATTCAACCACAGTGGGCTTTAGCTCCTGTGGCACTGTGTTACCACTCAGCAGTCTCGACATGCCTTTCCATTTCCCTTCTAGTTCTAGAAGCACCAACATGCCTCCCTCTTGGTGTGTCCTCCAGTGTACGTTGAGTGCCTCCTTCCACACCATTACACTCTTCTGGCATGGTTCACACACACTGCTCCAAAGCTGCCCTCCCCACCACCAGCAGCACAGTCCTTACAAGGGATGTAGTTTGTTGACAGACTCATCTTCATGGGTTCTCTGTAGGTCCAACTGGATTTTTTTAATGAGAGGAAGACAAAAGCCAATAGCAATCTCCAGTTTCTCCTCCTTATTAATCCCATATTCCTGCAGGAACAAAACAATAGATAACCCTAAGCCCTGGTTCTTTGCTGCATCCTCATGAAAGGAGGCTGGATGTCAACAGTCCCTTCCGCAAGCACCACTACAGTTAAGCAAGGACAGAAATGGAAATGTCACACAAAACCTTTCTCTGTTTTTCTCTCATACTGCAGAGGGTAACAGGGGACAGAGAGTCTTCCCACTCTGTCTATATGTGACTGTCATTATTCTTCCAGCAGCTGAGAGGCACGAGTACCATCAGGGAAGCCCCTTTTATGATACACAATCTTATACCCTGGCCTATCATGAGCATTAATGCAACAACTGCTATTTGCAGAGATGAAACTTGAAATGCTTTGCTGGAAATAGCCGAACTGCATCTTGTCAGGAACACTGTGAAGAAGTTTAGAAGACCACTTCTGGGCACAAGCGCAATTGGACCTTGCTGGTAGCAGCTCATCCTATCTAAATGAAGCATTTCTGCAAGAAGTGGAACAGAACAATGGTCAAAACAGACATACATTGCATGTGGCCCTCTCTTCTCCTCCCATGGTCATGAGCACGAATTTTATGAGAAACAAGCCAGCTTTGCCAGCTGAACAAGTTCTAGCTTGACAAGAATAACAAACTTGCCAGAACAAGCCTTGACTTTAAGACAGAAATCTCTTTTCCCCTGCTCAGTCTTGTATGTGGAGAATGGGATGTTGTTATGGCACACACACAGCTTGCAGCTGTGCTATAATGCACTACAGTGAACATGGAAATGCTGCTGCATCACCTGTTCATTATTCTGATGCTGTCAGAATCCCCATCCAGTAAGCCAGCTCTGCCACACCTTAAGCCACAAATGGTTTTGGCCTCATACAGACACATTGAGATATATCTGAGGAACACCTGTGATACGCTGCCTTGAGAGTTAATGTGCAAGAGAACCAAGAAAAACAGACAGGGAAAGGGTCAGAAACTGACACCACAGGCACCGTGACATGTGCAAGACAGGCTGTACCTGGGGTATAATCACATCTGCCAGTGCTTTGGAGAGTTTGAAGAGTTCAGCTGTGCCTTCCAGTTTGAGTGCACAGTTGTGCTGTACATCATACTTGATGCAGTCATAGATATCGGGGATCTTGCTGATGTCATAGCGCCCATTCTTCATGCGGAAATCTCGCTCCAGCTTGCTCCAGCGCTGCAGCATCAGTTCTAAAGTCTCGCTGTGGTACAGCTGCAGGTCTAAACACAGAGAACACCCAACCATATTCACATCCTCACTGCTTCTGTGTAGAGCTCAAGTAAGAGCTATGACTCCCTTCTCCCAGCACAGAAGGGCTCTCTGATCATATGTCACCCACATGGGTCCTAGACTGGAAAAGCCACTGGACCTGTTGCATGGAGTTTTAACCTGCAGCAACAAGCTACTTCCAAAATACTTGAGAAAAGTGAAGCTACTTGCCTGTTGCCTTATATCTGCCATAAACTGTGTGAAACGTCCCACACATGCCTCTTAAAAACCTCTGCATTGTTACTAGGAAAGTTCTTAGAGATGAGCAAATCATGGTTGATAAACTTGCTGGTTATAGTCCTGAGCTCCCTCTAGGAAATACCTGAAAAAGTCAGGTCTCCCTCTCCAGGCTGTACTGCTGCTCTTCACGTTCACTCCAAACCCAAGATGCACTTATCATTCCCTATACATCACAGCTCTCTTTAACAGTAGCTGAAAGTGGAATAGGAGCCTTCTATATCAATAGCACATACAGAATTGCACTTTAGAATTTCTTTGCTACAAACATAAACCATAGTGGTGTTTGGGAGTTCTGAAGATGTAACCATAAAGAATCTGCTCCAGACCTTTTCCAGTTCTGATGCTCACCTGCAGATTTTGGGTCTTCCAGACGTTTTCTTATCTGGGAGGTGAGATTCTCAATCAGGCTGAACACCTGGTTACAGACCTCGACTGGGTTCTGTATAAACATCATGGAGTTGAGCAGAGAAGCACTGCCTGTAGGTGCTAACTGAGAGGAGATACCAGTAGAGATTAGTTAGTATCCTCACAAACTGGAAACACACAATGCCTGCCTACTCTACTGCTTTCTGATCAGGTACAGAAGTGTCCCCAGTGGAGCGCAAGAAGCTGGCCTATTCCTAGGGGTACTTAGGCATGTTTTAAAACTTTCTCGGGACCAGACTCAGAGGGAGCAAACAACTGCTCCTATCGGATCAGACCTCCCTCCACCTACAATAACCACTCTTGTCCAACTTTGCTTCTGTGCTTGATCAGAAGGGTTTCACAGAAGTTTTAAATAGTTCTTTGAGATGGTAAATCTGTTCCTTAACGGTGATGGATTTCAGTCCAGTAACCAGATCTCAGCCTGGGGAAAATGGTGGTTTGGGGACTTGCTGGAGAAGCAGCTGTAGCGCTTTATTGGTTGCTGTGCTGGATGTAGCCCATGCTCTCTGCTCTGCACTTACCAGACACTGATAGGAACACAAAAGGGTTTGTATCCAAAAGATGTGTTCACACATGCACAGAGCACAGATCTGGGATGTGGCAAGGCGCACTGCCTGTCCACAGCAACTGGGCAGTGTGCAGCAAACCACAGGAACTCTTCTTGTAGCACGCCCATAAGAATAAAATGCACTGGGACTTCTAACGGAAGAGGAAGGTACCAGGTGATTCCTGAAGGGGACAGTGGAGCAACACTGAGGATTTTCACCTGTAGAAGGGCAGGGGCTACTAACCTGCCTTTTCCCTTCCTAAATTCAGTTTATTTCCTGTCATCTTGAACTGATCTCAGACTAACCAACTACTGTTCACATACCAGCAGGCTTCACATCAAACCACCACTGTTCTCCTTCCAGATACAGGAAAGCAATAAGGGTGTTTTACCTTTTCATAATCCTCTTCACAGAACTCAGCATCCTTCTGCATGATTTCATGCAGTCGTGCCTTCACTCTGTGTTGACAGCTGCTAAGGGAATCACTGTCACTGTCCAGGAGACCATTCATGTTGGCACTTTTCACCATTTGCACCAGGATGGGGGTCAGCTCTCCTTCCAGGGCGAGCAGACCCTAAAGCAACACCAAACAAGATTTCAGCTATGTGCAACCCAAGCAACAAGCACTTCTGGTACTTTCATGGCCAGCCTTCAGTCAACTTAAGTGAAATACCAACTGTCCTTGAGAAGCAGTTACACAGTAACAGCATCCACAGTCACCAGTGACTCTGGAATGCTCCTAGACCTACCCGACGTGAAAGGCCAGCACAGCCTGCACAGCCCAGATCTGTCCAGGAAATTGCTGAACAGCCAGCCCAGTCTGCAGGAAAATGCTGATCCAGCAGAGGCGCTGAAGAACAGCTAAGGTCACCCTTGGCTCAAGCTTTAGCTGCAGATGAACCTGTTTTCTCCCCACCCCACACTGCACCAAAGACATTTTGTTCCCATTTTAAATCCAGCAGTCAAGGAATAACTGCTCTGGCTGGGCAGTCATCCAAGAAACACTTATTTTGGAGGCAATTAATACTCAGCAACAGGTTTGATGTGCTCTGACATCAAACACCAGCGATACGCCATAAATAACCCCTTCTCCAGCCCGAGTCCTATCCTGGACCGGATACTAAACACAGCATACATATGCAGCTACACTGGATTTCCAGTACTGCCCCATACACTTGCTATTTAGTGTACCACCATCCTCTTAAGAGAGAGGGGGAAGCTCCTAGGACAGCTCCTTACTTATCACCAGAGGTTTTCCTTTAGAACTGGCATATTTTAAGACTAACATAGCAGAACTAACAGATGCCCAAAACGGAAGAAGAACCTTTGCAAAAGCTGCTGCTGTCATCTGAACTCGTCCCTCATCTGAGGCGTAGATCTTGAGATCATGACGGTAGGTGCTGTGCAGCCTGAGCAAGCCACATCCAGGGAAACCAGCGTAGTCGCCTGGAACAGAGAACAAACTCAAAATGGATATTCTGACACCTGCCAAACTATCAGCTGAACATACTGCTTCAGACAACAGACTTCACTGTAATAACAAAGTCATGCAGAGAATGAATCGCTTCCATAGCCAGCATTTAGGCTGCTCCAAAGGAGACCGTTCCAGCTGTCCACGATGACTGCAATGGGATTCACACTTTGTTTAACTTGGGAAAGTTCATTTTGAGAGAAAAAAACCCAAACATCCACCAGTGAAATCTGATGCTGCCCAAATTCTGCAGCAGCCCTCCCTGAGCAGTCCATGACTGCTCTGCTTGCCTGGATAGCTTGAGATGCACAAACCCCTGCCTCCTTAAACCTGTGTCTGCCATCAGAATTACAGGCAGAGCTGCTCAGCAGCAAGGCTCCTGGCCCCCAAAGCACATCTCACAGCATGAATTGACTGTTTATGATGGCTGAGTCAGCCACAGGACTCAGATCAGGAACGGCAGAAAGCAGCTCACGCAGCTCGAGTCTGACCCTCCAAAGACAGTGCAGTGGTGACTAATTTTCTGCTGCCTGGAATCCCATGATCATTTTGCACAGTACCCAGTCACACTGCATGAGAAGATGGTAAAACTGCTCCCAACTCTGAGCTCACAACTCAGAGAAACACTCTGCCAGCAAGGACAGACACCAGCCACAAGCCAGCTATCTATCTGGACAAAGCTGCCATGTTCCATCTGCTACCCAGCAACACAGCATCTCACTGCAAAATAAGATCTCTCCCTCTCCATGAGTGACCGTGTGAAGCAGAAATCTCCAAAGCCATGACTCCGAAGGACTGAAATCACCCGGTACATGCTCACACCAAGCTCTACTGTGAGCAAGAGGGCAGCCACTCAGTGCTCACCAGATACAGAGCAGCCAGTTCAGAAATGGTGTAGACTAACACCTTAGGGCTCAGCGCAGCTCGCTGGTAACTGCACTCCACTTGACCAGAGCTCTGCACACAGGTCTCTTCCCAGGTTTTGGGTCATTCCACTGCAATCTAGTCCTTGTGCTTCAACTGGAATGGCCTCTCCTGCACCCTGACTTCTTGTCTCCTCAACCTCTTGTCCAAGTCAGTGGCTGATCCTCTCAGTTCCAGGCTTCAGAGACCCACAGAAGGCCTGGGAAGTCCCCAGCCTTTCTAACTCACCATTCCCATCTTCAAGAATGGCATACAGACCTTGTCATGAAGGCAAGAAATGGTTTCCAGGATTAGCTGCTCTATAACTGTCCCAGAGACTGTGGCAAGGCTGACCAGCCTCCCTGGGTCCCCCTTCTCGTAATTTTTGAAGCTAGAAGTGACATTTTCTCTCCTCTGGCCCTCAGGCACCTCCTCCCCAATCCCCACCACCTTTCCAAGATAATCTAGAGTGGCCTCACAGTGACATCTACCAGCTCCCTCAGCATTTGAGGGTGATCCTGCAGGGCCCATGGACTTACGATGTCCAGTTTGCTTAAGTATTCCCTGACCCAATCCTTTTCCACTGAGGGTATCTCTTCCTTATTCCAGAAGGAAACTTATTCCATTTAAATTACCTTAATTACTTTCAAATTTAATTAATTAAATTGAATTAATTAAGCATACAAGTGCAGGAGAAGAGGTATCTGATACTGGTCTCATCAGATCAATACAGTAGCAGTGTATGACTTCTGACTCTTTACTTGGATGAAAAAAGGCAATCTCAGCATTTTTCCCCCCGAGCTCTTGCTGAGCTGCCTGTGTACTAAATGCTCTTCAGAGTCACAGAATTATGGCAGACAAAATACGGAGAAGTTACCTTCCTATTCTCCTGGCTCAAGGCAGAATTACCTGTGTTCCAAGGTAAGATTTCCTGTTTTCCACATCTGACCTAAATTCCTTGTTAATCATATGGAAATTCTGAATCATATTTGCTGAACTTATTAGAATGGCTCCTCTTTTGTGAATACTGCCACATTAGTTGGAAGAATGCTGCTGTGCTCTGAGACGTGCTAGAGTTTACCCGCAGACATCTCCAGCCCGTTTAGGGAGCTTTGGGTGAAAACCCCACTGGAATTATTTACCCTATTCTAGCCAAAAGCACAAAACCAGTAAAGACCCAAGTCACACAACCCCGCAGAAGCTGAGCACCCTGCACGCTGCTGACTGCTGGGCTGGGCAGCCTGGCACAGCCACAGGACAGGAAAAGACACATGGGCAAAGCTCACCTTGGCCACCGGGGTACATGCAGCGGAAAGCTCGCCCCAGCTCTTCTGCCTGGACTCTTCCTGCTGGTGTCAGCTCCCCACCCCACTTGAGCACCAGGAGAAGGGACGGGGAAGATTCTCGTCGAGCTTCTAGGAGACAAACAGTTACCCACTTCATCAGATCTCACAGCTGAGCTTGCACGGGGAGAGGAGGGGAGGAAGAGGAGATTGTCATCAGCACCTTGCAGAGCGTTCTCAACACAAGCCTGACCCAAAATTCCCAGGAGCCAAACCAGCAGGTATGAACTTAAGAGACACTATTTTTTGAAGGTACAGGCTGACATTCATTAAATTGGAAGCATAAGCCCTGTGGCACCATCATGGTATATTGGAACACTACATTATGCATCACTCCAACCCTCCTATGGTGTAAGCAAAGGTAAGATACAGGTCACTAATTTTGCTTGCACGTCCAGAGGCCAAGTTTCTTTACCTTCATCTTCACTTGCAGCTTTTGGATGTCCATGAGGCAGATAGGTCAACTGAACCTTACGGTTAATGCCAGAAAAATGTCCATACCTGTCACAAGCAGAGGGAGGGAAACAATTTAAACAAATCAATTCCACTCACCCCTTGCCCAGAGGTCTCCAGGCAGCACACAGCAGAAATACAGCACAGGCAAGAGACTTCATGCTGCAACACCAATTGCAACACAACATGAACATTTTTGCCATCTACCTGTGACCCAACATGCAGCCTCAAAACCAGCCAAACAACTCCCCCAAATTCAAGTCAAAGATCCACTCACTTGCCTGCCCTTCAGCTGATAGCTCTCTGTGCTCTGGTACCTCACTTGGGCTTTAATCAACCTTAGTTCATTTCTAGCTACATCTTTACCAAGTGAATTAATAAGATCACATAAAAAAGCCCAGTCTGCCAGCACCCCGAGAAGAACCACATCCCTAGTGAACAGAGAGAGCAGGGGAAGGAATCATACCACAAAATCATCCTCTGAGCTCCACAGACATGGCTTGAGCACAGATACTGCCTACATATGCCACAGCAAGCTATGGTTCTGAGAGAAACTCTTCCTTTGTTTCTGTGATGCCAACACCAGACCCACAGCTCTAAGGCAAACTCACAGTGCCCTGAGATATGAGCCCTTACATCTCCAAGACGCTCTTTAGCTGTTCCAGTTTGGATTTCCTCTCCTCAATCTCACAGTCACTGTGGGTTCCCAGGTCCACCACAAGCTGCCGTGCAATGTCCAGCACTTCCTGTTGGGGAGCAGACAGTCTCAAGCATCCAGCAACTCTCCCTTGGACTCACCACTGTACTCCTGCGAGGCCTCCAGATGGCTTCACCCAGTATCAGGTTCACATAGACATGCACCAGGGACAAGTCACTTCACAAGTCACAGCTCAGGCAGGACAAATTTCACGCTGCAGTTTGGCTCATCCCCACCCTGTGCTCCAGCCCTGCTCAGAACCAAGCAGGTGCCTCCAAGTACCCCACTCCCTCACCTCAATCCATCTTTCATCAGACGCATCAACAGCGGATGGGCAAGTTGCATCAGGTCATCCCCATCCTACAGTCTGTATCAGCCAGGAACAGTTTCCATTTCGCTCTCGGAATGGAACTGCTATCACCCAGCTGAGGGTGCACAGGGTGGGGAGTAAGAAAGGGAGTGTCTGTGCATGAGACTGTCGCCCTTTTGGAGGTTTCCACCCTCCCAAAGAATTGCCTCACACTGGCATCTGTATTACCTGCACTTTCCACACAGTAGTCCCAGAGAGGACTCCCCTCACCTGTAGCTGCTCTGGTCTCTTCAGCTTCAACTTCCCTGTCTTGTAGCCATCATATTTCTCAAATAATTCAAAGAACCTGAAAAGACAACAAAGAGCACTGATCCAGTTTCTGATGCTTTAGTGCTACAAGAACTGTCATCCCTACATAGGCATTCATGCTCTGTTCTTCAGGGAGAACAAGAAGACCCAATGGCTCCTTCCTGCGCTTCAGAAATTCTGATAAAAACAAGTGTTTCCAGCTGCAGGTACAAAAAGGAAACAGCCACCAGCTTCCCATTTAGTGGGGCTGCCCTGGGTTCAGCTCTAACAGTTATTTTTCTCCTTCCTAGTATGCGGCACAGTGCTGGGTTTTGGCTTTAGTCTGAGAATAACGCTGGTAACACACCAATGGTTTAGCTGTTGCTCAGCAGCACTTACCTGAGTAGGACTTTCTCAGTCTCATGCTCTGCCAGGGATGAGGGGAAGCCGGGAGGAAGCAGAGACAGGACACCTGACCCAAACTGGCCAAAGGGCTATTCCATACCACAGCACGTCATGCCCAGTATAGAAACTGGGGAGAGTCACCCAGAAGGCCCAGATCACTGCTGGGGTTGGGCTGGGTACGGGTCGGCAGGTGGTGAGCATTGTACATCACTTGTGTTTGTTGGTGGGGGTTTTTTCCCCTTCCCTTTTTAGTTTTGTATTCTCTCCCCTTGTTATTTCCCTTATCATTATTATTATTGGTGGCAGCCGGAGGGGCTTTGTATTATACCTTAGTTACTGGACTGCTCTTATCTCAACCCGTGGGATTTACATTCTTTCCATTCTCCTCCCCATCCTGCTGGGAGCAGGGGAGAAGAAAGGAGGAAGTGAGCGAGTGGCTGTGTGGTGCCAAGTTCTTGACTGGGCTTAAACCACAACAGGGGCACTTCCCTTTGAAGCACCTAGCAGAACTTCGCTCTTTCTTGCAGTGTTCACACAGAAGGTGCCAGATCCTTATGGGGAAAGAGGGCTCCCTCAACTGGGCAGAAAGCATTTGCTTGAACAGAGCCAGGAAAAAGCACTGCCTCCCATGCACTCAGCCCTTGTGCTCCTCCTCTTGAGTAAGGAAACAGGCCTTCCTCACTTCCCAGCAGCACAGCATCTTCTTGCCTTGACTCTTACCGGGGATGCTTCACTTCCATTTTCATCTTCTGCTTTGGGGTGCGATCTCCATGCCGGATGACTGCAATAACACAGCGAAGCTCCATCCTGGAGAAACACAAGATACATCTGACAAACGTGCCCCTACACTCCAGAATTGCCACCAGAAAGCATTTCCCATTGTTCTTTCAGTTCCATCCTTTTGACAACTGCTTTCCTCATCAGTGCAGAACTCCCAGACTAAACCAAGTGCAAGGCCGTAAAAGTAGCCAAAGTACTGCAGACGCTACCAGGTCATCTGGTTTCCTATAGTAGCACCTATTTGGTTCACCTCTTCCAAGTGCTCAGGTGTGCTGAGGATCATAAAGAAACATCTGCCTTTGATCTTTTAGCTTCACACGCTGGACAGTAAAGTGAGGGTCTGCAAGTGTACAGGTAACGTGCTGCTGAATGCTGAGCCAGCTGCAGTGATGCCCTCCTCAGCTTCCTGTGCTGACCAAGAACTTGGGCTTTCTGAAAGCCGTGTGAGTAGTTTCTGCAACTCCATCAATAGCTGCTCGTCTGCATCCATCAAACCTACAACTTGTTATCACCCCTTTTGTGTGCACGGCCAAGCCTTTCCACAGGCATTTCAGGACTGCAACCAACACAGCAGCTGGAGAACATCATGCTGCTGGGTAATGTCTGTCCCTAGGACAGGGTTTGCACTTTGTCCCTCATGTAGCCATCACCAGCATTCTTTTGAGAAGATGCAGGTACTCACATGGTGCCTGAAGTTGTGGGGACGATGGGAATGTCTTCTGCCTCTGTTGGGATGGACCAGGGAATATGAAACTGGGGAGCCAATTCCCGCATGATTATATTTCTGGAAAAGATTGTAATACAAATCTCACAAGAAATTCCATTCCCTTGGTTCCCCACCTTCTTATTAGTGGTCCAAGCTGAAAGATTTGGAGAGCCACAGAATTTCTCTTCATCTTCCTGCAGAGACATCTACCACACCATGGGCTGGTTAGTTAGGGCACCCCAAAGGGACAGCAATTTCCCTCACATCACTAATACTGCAGCTGGACTTAGCACCCAGTGGAAAGTCCTGTACAATACATCTTGCTGTAGACTAGACAGCTAATACCAACACAGGCAGGAGCTCCAGGGGCTAAAAGTAATTAATCCATTTCTCCCAAAGCAAAGCTCTCACTTGCTGAACAAACATCCCCATATGAACCACCTGCAGACCTCTCCAATGCACTGTTCAGCACTACACATTCAGTTTACTTTGATGAGAGTTACTTTATCTGTTACCAAAACTCGAATTTTACATACCCAAGGATTTTGGCACAGTCATCATAATACTTCATGGAGTTCTTCACAAAGCTGAAGCCATTCACGTCGCAGACGAAGGAGTGGCCATTTGCCCGCAGGAGGTCAAACCCACACACTGTTTGCTGCATGAGGAAGCAGAGGATGCAAGACTCAGGCACACTGTGAGGGAGTGCGCAGGAGGGGACAGCAGCTCTGGCACACACAGAGCAGCCAGTGCACACTGCCCAGTGCCACTCCGCCGGTGCTGCAGCCGTTCTCCACATTCTCCACTCCATGCCTGCCCCATGAGCATTCAAGAAGTGTGAAAATACAGTCACCATCCAGCAGGAACAGACCCCTTAGAGGAGCCTTTACACCCTTACAGCTGTATCGAAAGCTCATACCATGAGCCCTTGGATTAAGCTGTCAGAGCCACCCCCCCACCTCCCAGAGCTCTAAAAGCTTCAGATAAGAGCAGCTCCTGGCTCTCCTGCTCTTGCCTCTAAATCTAACCATTTTGAAGCAGATGGACAAGTACAGACAATAAGTAGTACAGGCAAAGACATTCTTCACTAGGTGGGCTACAAGGTAGAACAAGCCCAAAGCTGTATTAGCACAACTGCATAGGTTGCAGATGGCAGCGGGGGTAGAAACAGAAGCCAAGTGCTTCTGCTGCTGCCGTTGCTGAACATGTCCTGTAACCATAACTAGACTCACACACTCACTCTACCAACCTGTAAAATAGAACACAAATGTGCATAAAGACAGATCAAAAACAGAAGAAAGAAGAAGAAAAGAAGACCAAGTTTTGCACACAAGCACAACTAGGAAACAGAAAAGATGGGACAAGCACAGGTCGGATGGACAGCAGCGTCCTCAGAATCTGATATTGAATACTCAGATGTATGCTGGACACCAGCCACCTGTGAGCAGAGACAGCATCTGCTGCAGGCCAGTCATCTCTGACTAGCAGTCTGCCATGGCCAGCAGGACCAGCTGCACCCAGCCAGCAGAGACAGCAACTAGACTGCAGCACCAGACACACATCGGGGTAACAGAGCTCAGCCTTTAACACTGACCAAGATTTGGATCAGACATTCGTGGAGTATCCTGCTTGCACTGGAGAGAAAACACAGACCTTAAAGGCTACACAGACTTTCCGAGCAACTAGTTTCTCCATGGCAGTCAGCATGACCGGGTAACGGATTTCCTTCCCTTCACTGTCCCGTTCCACCTTTCCATCCAAAGCAGGAGATTTGCGAGCCTCGGCATGGGCATAGTCCGGCCCCACAGTGTACACCTGGGAAGAGAAACAGGCATACCTGACATAACCACATAGACGGCCTGCACCTTCCAGAAGCTGTTTCTACTGCAGACGCAGAGAGGAGAAGAACAAATGGTCTCATACTCCTCCTGTTACAACCTCCAGAACATCTGCTCCCCACTTTGGGATCCAGGCTGCACAGCCAGCACCTCACAGACAAACACTCCAGAATCTAAGTAGTGCTAAGCAGGACTGCCAAACCTTCAGGAACCCCAGGACTGGAGAAGGATAAAGCTAATCCAAGCTCTTCCTTACCTTTACATCAGTGCCATCTGTAGGCATGAATTCCTCATAAATGTATGAGCCTGTCTTCCTCACACTGCTCTCTGGGGAGTACACACTACTCCGGCTGCCAATCTGAAAGCACAGAATAAACACCTCAGGGAAGGGCATGGAGCTCCTTTTCTTAGATGGAAGAACAAAAAGAGTTTCATCCCACGTGCCAAGAACTAGCAGAATGCCTCTCGGAACCCCACCTATTCCAGCACACTTATTTATACACAACGAAAGAGACTCCAAAGCGCAGCCTCTTCCAGGCTTTAAAGACAAGAAAATTGTTACAGATCATTAGGTCAACTCCAATCACTACAAGGATATGGAACAAAAACCAGTGGCTAAGGACCTAGAAAGAAAGGAGCCTAGCTAATAATCAAATGAGAATAAATGATGATGGGCAATAATCAGAGCAATTTAACTTCCTTCTCAGACAGTTGACTGATCTTATGGGTAGAGGATGATGTTGTTTTCATTTTTAGTAAGGCTTTGGATACAACCTCGAGTGGCATGCCTGCATGTTACCTAAGGAAACAATCCATTTACTAATGGCAGATACATAACTGATTGGAAAAAAGATACATCACCGCTATTAACTGTGTGCTGGCAAAGTGGAAGTGAGTAAGGGCAGATGCCCTGCATCTGCACCCTAGATGCCCTAGGAATGAATACCGAATTTATCATGTTTTCAAGCTACGCTAAGCTGAGAAGGGCAACGATGATGTTAGAGGACAGGAACATAAGTTTAAAAAAAATTTATCTTCATAAACCGAGGAAGTGATCTGGAAAAAACAGCATACAGTTCAACAAGGAACACGGCTCTGTGACTGATAGACAGGACACAGGTCAAACAGAGGTTGGGGAAGGCAAAGTCTGCACTACCACTAAAATATGTCCTTCTGCAATTCCCAGGGTTGAACTAGATGGGGTTGAAGTAGAAGTTCTAAGGTCTAGATCTCCCCAACACAAACCCTTCCTTTCCCCTCCACCTGTCCCAACACTCCCTCCTAAAGCCACATGGGTTTCAGAGCCATAGATCTGTTGGTTCCAACACCAAACCTGAAGTCCCCTTCCTCACCTTCCGAAAGAGCCGCTGGCTGCCCCCGCCCGCTGACGTCGGGTAGTAAATATACACATTATGGTCTTCAGCACTGACCGGCTTCTCTACAAACGGCTTTGGGAAAACAGCTCCATTTACCTCCACATGGTCCTCTCCTTCTACCAAGTTGCACTCTGGAGACAAAGCACAGCAGCAGCACGTTAGGAAAGGGTGTAACAGCCCCACTGCAGAGCCGAAGCCCTTCAGTCCTGGCCCAGCAGACAGTTCTGCTGTTGGGATCTTTGTTCACAAAAAACAACAGACTTGTGAATCAGGCCTCTCCAAGCTGATTGTCAGTACCTGCTCTCTGCAGAGTATCTTTAACAGTGCAGTACATGACAACGGCTTTCAGTAGAGCCTGGACACTGACCTTCTGGTCTGTCAGGATCTCGATTGAGAACAGCATAGCGGGGCAAGTCTATTCCCTCTTCTTGAAGGATCCGATACACTTCACGCCTGTTGAGGACAGAAACGATATCACAAGAGTCTAGGACGTCCTCAGTATTTGCCAAGGGAAAGGCTTCAGGAAGAGGGAAGGTGCTTTAGTGGATCACACACACCTACCTGTCCTGGATATAATACTGCATATCAAGGTCATTAATCAAAAATGGCTTGCACAGCTTGGCATAAGCAACTGCTTTATCCAGGGGGAACCCTGAAATACAAAGGCAGGGAGTAGAGAATGAGTGGAAGGTCCCTTGCCCAGATCTCAAGTAGGCTAAAGCCTGCCACAGACTTTTTACCTTTGGAGTGGAAGGATATGAGGCAGTCACAAGAGGGCCAGTTCTCCACTGGTTCATTGAGGATAACATCTTCCCCCATGATCACCACTGTGATATATTCAAACTTGCACAGACGCTCCAGAATCTGTGTCATGGGCTTTGACTTGGACTTTTTGGTCATGGCACAGATTCCAACCACAATCTGTCGTTCAGGTGGCTAAAGGAAGACAGAGATCAGTTTAGTACAGAGTCAACTACTTTACTGAATTTAAACTGTAACAGTGTAGAAATGCAGCAATGCAGAACAAACACAGGACTGCGGGTTACCCATCACAAAACTGTGGCTTCAAACCGTAAGCTGAGACACTGGAAGTTACTGCACTGACTTGCAAAGTCAAGACTCCCCAGCAGAAACATCTGGGAAATGAAAGGGTTTCCAAATCCTTCACCACACCTGATAAATAGCTCCTCTGAGTATGAAGGTACACAACGCTGCATGGGTTTGAACAATCCCCTTGCAACGGAGACTCTGGGTACAGAGGCAATGGAAATGACGCTGCACTGGTGTACGGTCCCAGCAATTCACACAGCCAGCAGCAATGCTCCTGCTGCAGCCAGGTCTCATGCAGAACGGCAAGTGTAACATTTAACACGATGCTGAGTAGGGGCCAAAAGCAGTCAGGAGATGGAGATCATTCTCCTTTCTGCATCTTGTTCCTATAGGTTACAGAAAATAATAAATGCTTCCTTTCTGCAGACACAGCTCTGCCCTTTTCACAGTTCCCAGAATTTGTCTCAGAAATTTCCCTGGTGAAACAGGAAGGTTTATGGGAGAGTCAGGGTTAAGTTGATAGGACAAAGAAATTTGCTGCTACACCTGAAAAAGACGTGCAAGCAAAAAGGCTGGGATTGCTGCAGCACGAGGAGTGAGCATGGCAGCACAGCGATGCCACACAGTCTGCGCCACATCCCCGCAAGTCCCGACTGCCCCTGGCCTCAGCAGCAGCCACACAAACCCTGGCTGAGACCCAGGAACCCTGCACAGATGCTCCAACCCAGAATGCCAGCACCTCCTTACCGACTCCTCCTCTTCATCATCTTCAAAGAAATCTGTTTCGTCTGTCTTCATGTTTGATCCCAGAAAGTCCGTCTCATCATCCCTGGAACCGACAACAAACCTGGGAGTGGAGTTCTCTCCCTCACTGGAGGTCGTCAGGGACGACATTGCAGCTCCGGTGGCCGACCATCCCGCTCTGGAATCCCAGCATGCAGAAAGGGAGAGAGAAGGTCAGAGGCAGGGTGAGCCGTGGCCAGTTGTGCTACTGGAAGTGGTGATGGTGGGGAGGGCAGGGACTCATCTGGCTTGAGTCAGCCCAGGGACCATGTTGCCCAGCACAAAGGGGAGGAGCAGGAAGAGACCCTCAGGGTGGGAGGGGATCCAGGATTCAGGATCATTTTAGATGGGCAGCTCCACTGTGCAGTTAACCCCTTTACACTGACTGGGAAAGGGACAGTGGCGCCGCCAGCACTGAAATCATGTAAACCTTACAATGATGCATGTTCCAAGCCACTGTCTAAATCATGGAAGGGGACAGTGGACACTCTCACAGGCTCATACACCCAAAGACATCAACTGGGACTTCAGAACTTAGGACGAAGCTTAGGGCAGTGACGGTGACTTTCCAATTGCCAATTTTCATCCTTTCAGCTCAAGAAGACCTACAATAACAGAGAGATTCGTTTGAGAGGCGCACGAGTTTGCAGGGAGGAGGGAAAGGAAGTTTTTTTTGAAAGAGGACACAGAGGAAACATCAGCAACATTTTGGGTTGCAGGTCATGGCTCCTGAGTTTGCAAGCTGGCTCCGATTTACTCTGTGACCACAGAAGCTGATTATCGGGATACAAGCTCTGCTTCATAAACACCAGGAAAGAAAGGAGTGTGTCTTCCACTGTCACCTGCAGCAGCAGCACTGCCTGTCACAGCAGTGGCCGGGTTTGAATACACCCTACACATGCCCTGCACACACCAAGGACACAGCTGCCCACCTCTGACCATAGCTGCATACACATAACATCACACAGTTGCCCTTTACTGTGTTTTCCCCAACTGGAAAGTGATGAAAAGCATTCCTCCCATGCAAGTGCAACCTTGAGAAGAGGACACTGTGAACACCCCATGTTATGAACTACTTCCTAAAAATGGGCATGAGACACTACCACTGCTTCTCATGCTCTCACACACCTTCCAGCATCCCCCAGGCCGAGTCCCTGCGTTTTCCTCCTCTGATGGGCATGGTTCCCTTCACTGCCAGCATACAGCAGGAGGCTGCACTGCCACGTATAGCTGTGAGCTTCCAGTGCTCTGGCAGCTCCTCTCTTCCGAGCAGAGTCACCGCCTGCCAGCAGCACGGTTTTACAGTAGGTGAGAATCCCCTCACCATGAAGGCGGGTGGGATGGGCAGGAGAAACACAGAGCAATCCAGCTGCTTGTGAAATCCCCTTGGAAATAAGGGACAGAAGAAAGCATGCCTGCATGCAGAAGGGCTGTGCATGCTCCCCAAATGGACAGATGTGACAGGTAAGCACTTGGAGAAAGAGCCGGAGCAGAAGCACAGCACGATCTCCCACAGCCACGCTCCCAGGTGCCGGTTTGCCAGCAAGCCTGTCCGTTATCACACTGGATCCACCGGTGGAGCCGACACAACCCAACAGAAACCAGAGGGGACACAGTAAGCCTGGACTTTGCACCTACCGCAGCAAGGCCACCTGGGCCCGCCTGGCTCCAGC